AGAGAGAGAGAGAGAGAGAGAGAGAGAGAGAGAGAGAGAGAGAGAGAGAGAGAGAAATGCTTGATAACTGTAAAAAGAACAGAAATCTGCTTTCCTAAATTCTAAGGTAGACCTAAGTCTCTTTGCCTTATCCATCCTCCACCCTTGTCCTTTAGCTTTTTCTCCAAGTTTTGCTTTTTAGTCCTTTAATCATCTCAGTGTCTCATCTCTTCACTATGCTAGATACAGTACTCTATTACATTGTTTTGGACAAAGCTCTACGAAAATCTTTAGAATTCTGTTCTCACCTGTCTTCTAAAGTTCAGGGACGCTCCTCAACTCAAGACAACAAGTATATTCTTCTCCTATAAGGGCAGAGATAAAGTCCTTAAAAAGGAGACCTCTGAAACACCTTATTTTCTTTTCCTAGGCTGATAATCCATTTGTAATCACTGTTCGGATATGATATCCCATACAAGCTACATACCCACCTATGGTTTCCATATCTTATTTTCCCAGTTTGCTGTTTATTATATTACATTGGACAACAATAAAAGCTTAGCTAAAGTCAGGACTGGTGACAATCATTTCCTCTTTAATCATCAAAGTCTGTTAGCTTGCCCCAAGAGATTAGATTAGCATACTGATTTTATGCTTTACAAAGTCCAACTTGTCATACCATATATACCCTATACTCTCAAGTGTGCTTACAAAAACTCATTTGGTGATAATTTTTCTCTCTAGGATTATTTGTTATTATTTTTGTGACATGTAGAGATGAATATAAAACTGTGCCATATCAGTTTAGAATTTAATACCATCAGATTATTTACACAGCTGGTTCCCAACTCAGCCAGGGCCATGGTGTTCTTTTCTGCATCACAGCAAATGGCTTGGGAAATGACTGACCCCCATTGGGGGTGGATTTAGTAGAGATGTTTCTAGGGTAAAGGCAGGCAATTTCCTGCTGCTCTGTTGTTGAAATGACTTATCTTGTTATGCCTGAAAATATCTAGCATGTTTAGAGTATGAACCAGAGGGCAAGGACCTATGTCTTCTTTCTACTCTGAAATCCTTCCAATGTTTTGGAATTGAGCCTTGCTCATAGAGGGTACAATCATTCCCTGGTGACTGGGTCATCCATCAGGTGGCAGTGGATAGAGCACTAAGCTTGGAGTCAGGAAGACCTGAGTTCAAATCCAACCTCAGATACTTCCTAGCTGTGTGACCCTTGGCAAGTCATTTAACCTCTGTGTGCCTCAGTTTCCCCAACTGTAAAATGGGGATAATAATAATACCTACCTCCCAGGGTTGTTGTGAAGATCAAATGAGATGATAATTGTAAAGCACTTTGCCTGGCACGTTTTTGTTCAATCATTTTTGTGTCTGACTTTTGTGACCCCATTTAGGGTTTTCTTGGTAAAGATACTAGGGTGGTTTGCTATTTCCTTCTCTAGCTCATTTTACAGATGGGGAAACAGAAGCAAATAGGGTGAAGTGACTTGCTCAGGGTCACACAACTAGTAAGCATCTGAGACTGGATTCGAACTCATGAAGATGAGTCTTCCTGATCCCAAGCCTAGTGCTCTATCCACTGCGACATCTAGCTGCCCCCTCTGGCACACAGAAAGTACTATATCGATGTTAGCTATTGTTATTTTATTAATATCAGACAAATTATTAGGCCTTTTTAGTGAGGAAACATGAATTTGAATAGTAGTGATCTCTCCCTAATTAACTCTCTAGGAAATGCCTAACCTTTCCCACTTCTCCTTTTAAAACAATCACCTTTAACTAGATTTGGCCAAAGTGTTGATCTTGACTATACCAATTTGTTATGAGGCAGGGCCTCTATCAGGCAAGCAATTTGGTGGGTAGTGAGAAGATATTTTTTAAAAAATGTTAATAAAGGTTACCCAAGATCATAGTGGAGAATTCTAATAAAAGGTGGTCCATTGAAGAAGGAAATGGCAAACCACTCCAGCACCTTTATCACGAAAAACCTCGTGGACAGAATTAAAAAATAAGAGCATGGACAGACATTGGGAGATAGTAGACAGAAGAACCTAATGTGCTATGGTATACGGGGTCACAAAAAGTGATACAACTGAATTAACAGCAACCATAACAACAAGATGAGACATTGCATACCATTATCCATTATGCCTGTGAACGGAATGCCCTGTTTGTGTTTGTTCTTAACCAAAAGGCTCTGGGGTGGAGTGTGAACAAAACAGTACTGTCAGTGTGGTGGGAAGTTTCAGCTATGATGCTATGTGGGATTAATTTCACAAAATGGAAGAGCTTACAATGAAAGCCAGGCAGGCATATAAGGTTATATTGTCAACTTTTTAAAAAGAGACTGAAGCACTAGAGCTGAAGAAACTCTGCAGGGCAAGAGTTGCTCCTTAGAAGTTAATAAAACAACTGACACAACAAAAGAGGAAGAACCGAATTACATTAAAATCTGGAAGAAAAATCTTAAGAGTACAATCTGTATGCACCAGAACTAGAGCAGGCTCCAGCCACTGAAAGGCTGAACCTGAACTTATAAGAAAGGAGTATTTGTTTTGGGATGGGGAAGTAGGAAAAAGATGATCATTCTTTGTTGTCTCCCCTTCTCTCCTCAATTCTTTACGGATGTTTTAAAATATTTTGTGTGAATATTTAACATCAAAATTAACTGATTGTTTAATACAGTATTTGTTGACAAATGACATAGTGAGCACCAAGTTATTAATACTTTACAAAGATCAGTAAGTAACCAGTTGCTAATACTTTTTTCAAAAGTTTTTTTCATTTAAAATAGCCTTTGATCTTGTAGGTGTGGGGTATATATACAGATTTGAGAAATACTGGAAAACAAAAGACTTCTCAGCTGCTAAAGCTGCTCACTCATTCTCCTCTCCAGAGACAAATGTACAGACAAGTAAACCAACTCATTTAGTTCTCAGAGAGCTGGCTATTTTGTGGACAGACAGTATGTTAATCGTGAGAATTTTTAGCAGGAAGAAAAAAAAAAACTAGCCCAGATCTTAACTCCGCCATGCTATTGCTTTTCATTTCATCCCTGTTTTTTATGCCTCTTTACTAGGAACTAGTGAAGTTAAGTGGGCTGTTTTCTCCTCCACTACTGTTGTTGGTTGTTTCAAGTAGAGCAGAGTATACGGCAATGTATAGAAGAGTTCAAGGATTAAGAAGAATTTCCATCGGGGATCCTGGAATTTTAACGTTTAAATGTAAAAACTGTTGAAGATGTTCAGAAAAGTTGCTATGAAGAGCTTCAGAAGGAATAATGCTTTTTAAACCTGCTCATGTTAATTTTACAATTTTTAATCTTTTATCTTAGACACTAGCTGTGTGACCCTGGGCAAGTCATGTAACTTTGCCTCAGTTTCCTCATCTGTAAAATGAGCTGGAGAAGGAAATGGGAAACCACCCCAGTATCTTTGCCAAGAAAACCCTAAATAGGATGAAGAATCTGACATGAATCAAAATAACTGAACAACAAAAATTGAGTATAAAAGAAACTTCCTAAAATTTCAAATTGGCTTGAGAATTTCATCTAAAGAAATTTTTTTTTCTTTAAAAAAGCCAAGAAAAAGGATGAGAATCCATTTCCTTTAGTCTTTGAGTTAGAAAAGGAGCACACTGCTTTTTCTTAATTTGTCATTCAGTCTGGAGATTATTTAACCCGAATTTGGAAGATTGGGACGTGTGGGTGGGAGAAAAGAGTTCTTTAAAATAATACAATCTCAGAGAAGATGGAGTCTGCTCCTGTACTAATATTTTAAAGTGGGAGATAATTTTGGATAATTCCTAAAATACCTTCCTAAGTAGGGCTGACTGAGTTTGACTTGAATTAACTTTGCCCTGTCTGTTTCACCAAATTAAGTATAGTGTAGAATTTAAAAATATACTCTGCGTATCAAACTAGCAGAGCACTTTTAGCTTTGAAAATATGGTTAGATGAAACAGATCATGACATGGGGAAATAAGCTCATATAATGAGCTTTTTTTTTTTTTAAGGAAAAATGAAGCTGAAGTGGGTTATTCTTTGGGTACTCTCTGTGCTGAGATCAGCAGTTATGTATAGTGCTATACGTTGTTCTCTAACCTTTAAAACCAATTATTCCCTAGAGTATTTAAACAGTCAATCTGCTGTTTATAGGCTCCATAGAATGGCATTAGTTTCTCTTTCTCTGTATTTTGGCTAGTCACAATGGATAGAGCACTTTCTTTCAGTTTTTTCCCCCCCTCTTATCAATGGCAGAAGAATAAGTCTTACTGGCCTATGTAGATAAATACAGAAGATAATTCTGAAACACTAACCAATAAACATAATTTGTTTTAATATAAGTAAGATTTAACATCTAATAATCATCTCCCAAATGATCATAGCATGTTTGGTATACCATCATTCCTTAAAATCCAATACTCTAAAATGAAAATGTTTAAACATCTTTGTTGTTCTCTAGAAACAAGCTGGTGCTATTAACTTCCACTTTTGAGTTTCTAGGCCCGTAGTATTAACTATTACTATAGTAGTTTTTTAAAAAAACCCAAACTTAGAAGTAATAGACTTTAATGTTTCTAAGACTCAACATTTTCCTATTCATTAAATAGGGTTGTTCCTTTTGGTTTCATGGCAGTAAATCAGGAAAAACAGTTGAGGAATGGACCAGGATTATGCCAGGAATCAATATAAAATAATTTACCATGTACATGGTGTTAATTACATTAAGATATGTATAATGGGTACAGCTTTCTATATAAAATCAATGCACGTAACAGGAAAAAAAAGTATCAAAAAAGAACTTTTAAAAATGTACAGAAGGGAAAAGTGTAGAAGGGGATATAAATGGCAAATTTGTTTCTACCTTGGTAAACTTAATATGTGCATTTCTTTCAAAAAACTGTATCAGAAATTATTTATTATACAACCTTTTTTTCTGTTCTTTGTATCTGGAAATGTTAATGATGGCTGAGAATTAAGTTCATGGTTTAAAAAAAAGAAAAAATCATCTTTAGGTTTTTTTAATCATCCATCTTTGTCATTCACAAAATATGAAAAGATTAAGAAGCTGGGTAGTGTATTGGTTGGATACTTATGAAGCTTTTTCAGAAGGGCGTTAAGAAATGCATAGGATGAGAAGCCAACCTGCATAGGTGAAGGCTATACCCTCATGCATGGAATCATGCATCCATTAAATAACCACATAACAACAGTTCATATTCATGGAGTGCTTCAAATTTCATAAAGCACTTTCTTCACAATCACCCTGTTTAGTAGGTAGTGCAAAATTATCAACCCGGTTTTACAGATTAGGAAACTGAGATTCAAAGGTTAAATGACTGGCCCTGGGTCACATGGTGGGTAAATATTAATGTCTGGTTTTGATCCACTCCCACTGCTAGTAGTATATCACACTGTTGAAGCATCTTAGCATCAGTTATTTCCAAAATCCCATTTAAGATGCTTCCTTACCCTCCCAAAAAGGCCAACCACAACCAAAAATCCATTTTTATTGAAAGAATGAACAACAAAACCCAAAGACCTTTTACATTCACATAGGACCCCATGTGGTCCAAAAAAAATATATCCCACTTCCAGATAGCCATGTAATACAATCAACTTTAGCTGTATCATCTATAGAATCAATAATACCACACACTAATTTCTCCAGCAGAAAGGGTCACCTATCCTTCTGGGCCCTTTGGAAAACAGAATCATTTGGAACATTCAACCAACCACCTGCTCATAAAAAAGAAGGAAAAGGAACAGACTGCCAGTTAGCTGTCTGTCACTTTGTTTACAAGGAAATTATAGGAGATGTACAAGAGAGAAACGGAAGGAGTTGTGATACTGATGGAATCTTAGAAGTCAAGAAGAGGTGGGTTAGGGATATCGATATGGAATAGCCACTAGCCCAAATATGGGCACTCATTATGAAGCCTTCGGGTTAATACTAAATGGCAAATAAAGGGCTAAGTCAGTAATTGTGACTACAAAGCATTCACTGTTTTAAGAGTTACCAATGGCAGAAAATCCTGAAGAACAGTTTTGGTTCTGAGACCCTCAGGAGAAATGCCTAATTTGTTTAAAAAAAATACACACACACACACACGTGTGTGTGTGTGTGTGTGTATGTAGTTTACTTATTTTGAAATGGCATTGTTGCTAAGGGATTCTTTTGGTCAATATTTTCAACTGAACACAAACATAAAATGATGCAGTTAGGGCCTCTGATTCCCCTTCAGTTCATCTCCCCCTTCCGCCCACCCCCTACCCCATTTAAACCTCACTAGTTTGATGTGAGGTTCAAGTAGGATATATATGAAAATGCTTCATAAAACTATAAGGCGCTAGACAAATATAAGATGGTGAGCTACAAACCTTTCCTTCCTTAGTCATGTCATTAGAATCAATGGGGACACTGACCCCTTACTATATCATTGCCCTCTATGTTATAACAGCAGACATCTCACATAAAAACTAATAATAATAATAATAATAATAATAATGATAATAATGAAGAACTTTGGCTTCCTTGCAAGTCTCATTTGTTAATGTTTAAAAAAAAAAAGAAAGTGAACGGTAATGTATGAATTAGCTGTTGCAAATCTTAATGAACAAGCAACATTCATCAAGGATGACTTGACTTTGGAAAAGCCTAAAAAACTCTGAATTCTAAAAATATTGTTACTTATTTTGCTATCCAAGAAGTCTGTAAATAGCAGCTGTGACTTTATTGCCTGTTCAAATGCAAGCTACTATTGTTTTATTTCCATGTTTAGAATTCAAACATGGTTTAAAGAACAGGTTTTTCAGTAAGAGATAAAAATCAAAGTTGATAAATACATCTCCAAAATAGACCAATTGGCCAGCTCTCCCATTTTCATCCCGGTACGGAACACATATTGGATCTGTGAAAGCAGAAACTCACAGATTTGCATTATTTAAAGTGAATGTGGGATTAACACTGACAGGGTTGAGATATATAGCAGGTTTCAGCTTGTACACAGTTTTCCTGATGTCAAAGTGTTGCTGGTGCAAGGAACAAGATGGCACAGGAGGCTAGAACTAGAGGCTCCCAGATTCAAAATGTGAGCATGATGGTCTAGGACATCCCTCCCCCTTTCCCCCACGGGCCCCCTTCCATCTCGGTCATGGAATTAACCACAGCTTGGAGGGTGAGTCCCAAAGAAAGTGTCAATCAATTGCAAAATGGTTTGAGACCCAAGAAACAAGACAGTTAGGAATAGAGAGCAAACATTTGCCCCAAACAGGGCACAATGAAGCTTATAAAAAGGCAAATCACTGAAGATGAATTTGCCAAGAAATTGGTATCAACTGACTGCATTCTAAAAGAAGAGTCAGAAGATGGGTAGGCATAGATGGGCTTCAATCTGCACTGTTGAAGCAAATAGCCATATTTATGAGATCACAGATCCAATAGAGTCTCTGAATATTCCAAAGGAAGAGGGCTTAGAGTTCTGTAAAGAAGGAGATGCTATGGTGGGGCAGGGGAGTGATACTGAGGAAAGGATGTGGCCAGTCTAAATCTGGAGTTTCAAGGAGCCACATATAGAATGCATCCCTCATTGCTACATGTGGACAATCCATGAGGCAGAGCAGCTCAAAGAGGCAGGCTGGGCAGTGATTTGCAAAGTTTAGTCTCAGGCTTTAGAATGGGGACAAAGTTTAAGGCAGGAAGAGGTAATTACCTCCATAATGCCCAGACCTTTCCCTCCTCTTCCTCCAAACTTCTAAAAAGTCTGAAGCTCTGTGGGGGCAAGGCATGTCCTGTTTTGGGATTAACAGTCTCTAGTTAATTCCTGTCTCCCTGCAACTCTCCCCAAACCCCAACCTATCAAGTCAGTTGTTTGGGCATAGCTCTAGGTATGAGGCCTAGACCCAAGCCAGAGTAGTTAATTCTCGTATTCTCTGGGAAGTAGAGTAACCAAGGAAGTTCAGGGATGGTGCCAGGAGAATTGCTGAAGGTATCCATACAGCTATCCCAACCCCCTAAATTAAAGCGAGCTGGACTTACCTCACTGGCTGTGGGCTGTAACCCCCATTTCACAGAGTTATTAAGGAAGTCTCTCTATAAACAAACTATTAGAATCTCCCAAGAAGTTCAAAACTTTCCAAAGCAGTGTTCTATTTTAAAGTAGTGTTCTGCATTTGAAACTCTTTGTGTGAGAGTTCCATTCCAGAGATGCTGGGCAGGTGCTTTGAATTCTATTGCCAAAGCTACTCCAGGAGGCTTAATAACATCCTACCTGCTTATTCAGTGACTTAAGTAGGTTCTGCAATTAAAAACAAAACACAAAAGCACACTGCTTAAGGAATGGACTTTTTTTTGTCTCAGGTAAGCCAGAGGATACTCAACTGCCCATGAAAACAACATTAAAAATGAGCCCAGGAAGAGAGCCTAAGAAAAATCCTATCAGGGCCATCTGATGTTCCCCATAATACAGGGCTCCTCCTTTGTTCCCCTGAGGAATAGAGGGACACCTTTTCAAGGCAAAGACATCGTTATACTCGGTGGGGGTTGTTTCCTTAGTGGCTTTAGAGATCTGGCGAGTGTTTTTGTCTTCTTGATGTTGAGTAAAACCAGAAAGTGGTGCCTGCTTACTTTTGTGGCTAGTTTATATGTTTAGGAAAAATCCACAGAATGTTAAGAGGGAGAAAAAAAGTTTCAGAAGCCTGCACAGTGACCACATACTGGTCCTGGAAATGTGTAATCAGATTCTGCCCAGCCTCTACACCCTGGGGCAGGGCAAGGAACATGAAGAAAACCTTGCAAAGCCTAGCACCGTTATTATATTTTTTAAAACAAGGGCTCAAAGAACGTATATCCCTAAAACAATACATACAGGTGATAAAAGAAATGCCAGTAAAAAAACCCTGACTTTCTGCAGATGTTTTTCCATAAATCCACTGGCAAGCTTTGGAAACACATGTTTTGCTCAGTTGCTGGGCTTCACCCCAAAGCCCCCTACCTTGTGGGCAGGGGTGAGAGAACTAGAGCACACTTCTCCATAAAACAGAAGAGTCAAATCACTTAGCAGAAACACCCTGAATTCTCCCTGCTTTTTAACGACACCATCCCCAATTAAGTCAGGCTTCAAAGGGGCCAAACCTAGAGCCTGAAGTCAAAGGGTTTAGAGGAAACCAATGCTTTTCAGATTTGTCAGTTCTAACCCACCTGTATCAAGCTCCAAATCACAAGCCCCCCAGAGCAAGTGAGGGCTTAAATCTTTTTCTTCCACTTCATCACAGTATTAGAAGAGAGTCTAAGAAGGTAGTTCTGGGGAAAGGACATTGTTTCATCTTTGAAAAATAAATAGAAATATTTCTTTTTGGTGTCCTTCAAGGCTATTATAAAACGTTGTGCTCACTGCTCCTCTGTGGCTGCACCCCAGCTGTCCTCAAGGTCAGAGCCCAGATCCTCAGCCTGCCCCTCAAACTGCTTGGCCAGACTGCCTGCGGTGTCCATGAACATGTTGGGGATGTCTTTGCCAAAGTAAATCTTGCTGTTGGAGGCAATTGCCTTGTATTTCATCAGCTGTAGGTATTCCGGGGTCAGCTTCAGCTGTGAAGAAAGAAGACGGTATCTTGAGGGGGAGGGATTGATCAGAGAAAGCTTGGGGCAAAATAGGACTTGTGTCTTTGGAGCCATGAGGGGCACACGGTGGTAACCCTTCTTCTGGGGGAGCTTACGATTCCAATGCATTGAATTGTTAACCTGTGCTTTATGTTGAGGCCTTATCTGTGTACCTCTGTCCTATTTTTGGTTTAAGTTGCTGTATTTAAAAAACAAACAAAACCCCCCAAACCCACCACTCTTGCTTTGTGCTGGCTCTGGAATATTTGGGAGGTGGGCAGGACCCTGGGTCACATGGCACAAAGGTGACGCATACCTTTCCATGTGAAGCTAAGTCCCTAGGCACCAATGCCCACACTGCCAGGCTTGAGGGGGTGGCACCGATGCCCACAATGCCAGGCTTGAGGGGGTTTGCTTATTTCAAATTCAATTTCCATTGCAGTAACCATGTCTATGGAGGTGAACCCCAGGACCAATGTGATGACTGTTCTGGCTGGGAGTGCCTTAGGAATGCAAATCTATCTCAGTCAACTGAGAAAGAGGCAGTAAAGTACTGGTAATTAGCTTGTTCTTGTTGTTAAGGGTAATCCCTTTCCATAAGTCTGAATGGGAGACCATCTCCTGAACTTTTCTTCCTGATCCACAGAACCTGATCGGAGTCCATAAGGCTCTAAAACCTTAATGTGATACCCTTTGATTTATAAATGGAGGACAGACTCATAAAGTCATAATAGCCCTTTCCCCATTATCTCCCATCTCTACAGACTTGAACACTGGGAATCTAATAGAGAAGGGAACCTCAAACTTTCAGTGCCAGGGATATAACAACTCTGAAAGGCCCTGGATTCACCAAAATCAATTTCTAACAAGGCACTGATGAGGAGAGGTCACACCAGCTCTAGCTATCAGGGGTTTCTAGGTGACTCACAAAGAATATCCAAACTTCCCTTTCAGCTGCAGTAAGCCTGTTACCTTATTTGCTTCAGCTATTTTTAGGGCTGTATAGCACTCGGCATCAGCTTTTGCCTTCTCTCGAGCTAGGAATGCAGCATCTGCCAGAAAGAATAATGTGAATTAAAGGTAAGTAGGTGTGGTCTGATGGAGAGTTTGGGCTATGAGTTACAAAACCTGGGTTCTAGGTCTAGCTCTGCACTAAGTAGTTTTGCAACCTCACGCAACCCTTTAACCCTTTGCACCTCAATAATCCTCATCTGTGAAATTAAAATGAATAGCACCTTTTCTACCTAGCTTACCAATTTGGTGCAAGGCTCAAAACAGATGTAAAAACTGTCAAAAGTTGGTATGTAGATGGAGACCTGACCTGTGATTTTCTTGAGTTAGCAAGTTCCTGAGTAGGAAATTCCCTCTACCAACACAGGTCAGTACCTTTTCTGCAACTTGTCTTGAAAGGTGCCTACAGCTTCAAGAGGTTAAATCGCCTGCCAGGTTAATCTAGCCAGGATGTCAAAAGAACTTGAACCCAGGTCTTTGTGGTTTTGAGGCCAATTCTATCCACTATATCAGACTATCTCTCTTTTTATTTTAAATACACACATGCATGCATCTATATTTATAATCATATGACAAAGATCTACCCCAAACTAGGCAGGAGTGGTCAAAAAGCAAACCATATTACTGGGGAATCAAGTCTGGCTCCCACACTTTTAACTCCTTTATAAGCCCCTAGTGAAGAAGGTAGGGCAGCAGCAGTCAGTTCTAGGGCCTGGCTTCCCTGATCCTCCCTTTATACCCAGAGCTCAGGGCAGGCTCTATATAAAGCCAAAGACAGATCCATGGACGCTAATGCTGTACACCAGAGATGATGATGATGATGATGATGATGATAAAGGCAGTATGTAGTAGTTCAGCACCTTGCCATCTCCCTGTTTTCCTTATTTCACTGCTCATTCCCATCTATCTTCTAGAAAGGCCTCTCATGAACATGAAAGCACTAGTATAACCCAAGCCTTCTTCAATCCTTCAAGATTTCATGACTTCTTTGAAATGGGCATTCCACTATACTAAGGTGGACTAGAATGCCTTCACATCTTAGTAAGGTCTTCATGTTGTGGTAGCAGAAAAAAATCATCCACTAGTGGTCATCCTTCAGGTGATAAGCCTTCCCAAACCCAGCTAGGCTGATCCTCAGAACAATGACACACACATACACACACACACACACACACACACACACACACACACACACAATCACTGGGTCCAAACTTGAGGCCTTTCTACTTTGGCAGGCCCTTCCACAGCTTGTGCCCTGTTGGCACAGCTTTTAAAAACCCAGGGTCACCTCCAAACCATTATGAGACATCAGAGGAAAAGATGGCCTTGTTCAGACCACTCCACCCTGAATTAAGAATGGTTCAGCTTCCCATCTGCAAGCAGTGCATCTCACTAACCTAACTGTGAGCATCAAGCAGATTCTAAAACCCTGGTGAGCTTTACTTCCCTGCCCTGGGAACCAAGCCAGGACCATGGGTAATATCTGTAGCCAAAAGCCTGGGAAGGAAGGTCATTTTGTGGATGGGTAGGTTCTCAATGCATACATCCAGCATACCACGGGGATGGAAGGCAGCAGTGTGAGGGGAGACTGCAGAATGGCCAGGCTTCTGGCTGCCATGCAGCCGACTCAGCTGGCCTTGGCACCTGGTGACATGTATTTATAAGAAATAAAAACTTATTGTCGTTCTGCTGGGAACTCCTTAATGAGGAGCCGCTGATCTGTAAAATCCTAATTGGCTCCTCAATGGGCCCCTGCAAAGCCTGACAGGCCCCATAATGAGTGTAATTGGACACAGCGCCTTGTAGCTTGAAGCCTGGGACTCAAAGTCCTGTTTTTGTCCTGGAATTTGCCTGACACAAGGCACTACGTGGGGGCCAGGGGCGGGGGTGGTGGTGGGAACAAGGTGGGGATTTTAGGGGCAGGGAGATGATGGCGAATAATGATTAAAAAAAAACCCCAACAGCCAAGAGAACATTTGTACCTAGTCATTCTTGGTGAATGTCGTTCAGTAGGGCTGGTTGAATGAGAAAAAGGAAAAAAATGTCTCAGGACACTCATTTGAGAATAGTACTCGTTAGCTCTGGGTCCTTGCACAGGAGAAGCTATTGGCTTTTAGTGTGTCAAGTACAGTTACTTACACAGATACAGGAAACTGATACAAACATGGTCAAAATGATTTCCCTAAAACTTTGAGTATGCCCAAAGGAGGAAAGGTGACACTACTGGGAAGTACAGAGGGATTTGCCTGAACAGAGGACAAACGGGCAGTGAGAACGAATGACAACCCTTGTCTGCCACCCCCGCCCCCAAACGTGAGGACAAGTGGCGTGTACTGCTTGTGTATACTCACCTTCGATTTCTGAAATCTTCTTCTCTGTTTCCTTCTCCATAACTTTTTGCCCATATGTGATTTCTGCAACCTGAGCCACTTTTTCTGCCTCTGAATTAATAAAGTTAAGAAAAGTCTCAGTGGGTGGGAGGCTAGGTATGTGGAATGTTGCCTGAGACATGTTAGTTAGTTTTAACTGGTTTTTTCCTTTATTAAAAAAAAAAGTCTCTAGCCCAGAAATAGCTATGATATGAAACCAAAAGGTATCAATAAAATTTAAACGAAAAAATCCAACAAAATAACTAAGTGGGTTCCAGTCTCAGAAGTTAGTATAAGTAAATCTGGCTGGTACCTCGGTTGTCTCACTTTTAACTGGAGGCCCACGGTGTGCAAAGTATCGAGCACACCTGAACAAAATCCCTGGGCCAGAGATGGCTCTAAATCTCAAAATGGAGTCAGGGTATAGACAGAAGATGGAAAGCTCTGGGGGTTACATATTTTAGTCCTACCGGGCTAGATGACAGCAGTAACTGAGGGGCTCCTGCCACAAGGCAGGTGGATCAAAGAGATTCGGTCAGTTTGAAGGGAGACCTTGAAACTGACCCCAACTTTGCCCAGTCTATAACAAACAGCCTCTACGTCACCTTTCCCCTACAAGAGATTTGGCTTGAAAGAAATATTTTCTCTCATGATGTTCAACTTCCTGTCCCCAACAAATCAGAATTCATTAGTGTATTGGGTATGGCAGAAAGAGGTGACAGGAGGCATACATTCACAGTCTAGGGGAGGTTCCTTTGGCTTGGTACAGAGGAAATATGTCTTGAAACAAATAATTCAGAAGCATAAATTTTTAGAAATGAAGAATCGGAAGGGAGCTGGTCCATCATCTAGGCCAATCCATCCATGAATACAACAATCCTCTCTTTAGCATCCCTAACTAGAGGATATCCAGCCTCTTCCTGATGCCTCCAGTGGTACAGAAGCTCACCACGTACTCACCCTTTCTTCCCCTCCCCATAGTCAACAGCCTGATAGAGACAATCCCACTGTTGTATAGCTCTGTTAGTAGGTTTCTCCTTCCTGATGGCAAAGTGGTACAGTGGATAGAGCACTGAGCCTGGAGTTAGGAAGACTTGAGTTCAAATCCAGCCTCAGACACCTACTTTTTAGTTAAGACTCTGGGCAAGTCACTTAACCCTGTTTGCCTCAGTTTCCTCATGTGCAAAATAAGGATTAAAAAACACCTACTTCCCAGGGTTACTGTGAGGATAAAATGTGATTATTTGTAAAGCACTTTGCAAATCTTGAAATATTATATAAATGCTAGCATTATCATTATTATTACTACTGTTATATTAAGCCAAAGCTTGACAGTCTGCAACTTCTACCCATTGCTCCTACTTTTAAAAAAATGAATTTATTATTAGTTTTCAACATTTACTTTTATAAGATTCTGAGTTCTAAATTCTCCCCCTCCTTCCCCAAGATGCATACAATCTGATATAGGCTACACATGTACAATCATATTAAACATACTTCCACATTAGTCATGTTGTGAAAGAAGAATCAGAACCAAAGGGAAAACCTACCCACTGCTCTAACTTCTGCCCTCTGAGGCCAAGTAAAACAAGTCTGAGCCCTCTATCCTATGAAGGCAGCAGTGGGTGTGGAAGAATAAGCTCTCGATTTCAAGATGTGGGTTCAAATCCCGGCTTTACTTAGTACCTGCGTGAGCCTGCTTCCTTATCTGATAAAAAAAGGGGCTGAATCCCTTTGTGTCCCACCTCTAAAGTCTTCTCCTCCCCAGACTGAAGAGCTCAGTTCCTTCTACTCTTTGGGGGGCAGCAGGGGAGAGAAGGAAGGTCTTCAGTCGCTTCTCCATCACACTCACTCCTCACTCTTCTGGGCAACCTCCAGCTGACTCAAAATGTGACCTGGGTCACAGACCTCGATGCAGTACTCCAGATCTGGTCTGATCAGGGTAAGTCATTTTTCTGGTTTTAGACACGATGTTTCTATTACTTTGGCCTAAGATAGGGTCAGGAACCTTCAGCCTCAAAGCCACATGTGGTCCTCTATGTTCAAGTGCAGCCCTTTGACTGAATCCAAACTTCACAGAACAAATCTCCTTAATAAAAGAATTTGTCAGGGGCAGTGGATAGAGCACTGGTCTATGAGTCAGAGGAACTGAGATCAAATGGGACCTCAGACACGATACTTACTAGCTGTATGACCCTAGGCAAGTCATTTAACCCCGACAGCCACAAAAAAAGAAAAAGAAAAAGGATTTGTTCTGTAAAACTTGGACTCGGTCAAAAGGCTGTACCCTAGGACCTAGAAGGCCACAGGTGGACCTGAGGCCGCAGGTTCCCTACCCCTGGCCTAAAAGCATATTAGCTTTTTGGGTGGCAGAGTCATATAGGTGCCTAGCTATACCTCTCCCCAGCTGGTGCTCCTGTGGCTTACTTTTTTTTTTTAATCAAGTATATGCCTTTATACTTAAGGCAAGTGGCACTCAGACTACAGTAACTTAGTTCTGGGTTGACTCACACTCTAAGGGAAGGCATGAGGAGGCCAAGGCAGCCTCCCCTAACAGGTACCTCCCGCTTCCACTCCCTCCCTCCCATTTTCCTGCCCAGGAACCGTATCCGGACCAATGAGAGCCTTCTTCCGCTCTGTTTCTGCTTCCTTTTCCACCACCTTCTGTTTCTGTGCTGCAATAAGGAGTTTTGTCTTCTCACTTTCCCTAAAGAGGAAAAAACATCCAGCTGTTATGAAAGGCATTTGTGGCAAAAGCTGGAGAGGGGGAATCTGCCGTCCCTCTGAGACAACAAACTCACTGAATGGGCAGAAGCAAACTGCCTGTGTCACATTTTCTCTGGTGGCTTCTGCTCAATGTCCCAGGTAAGAGCTGACCTGTTTCAGGTATTAAGGTGGTTCTCCTTTCACTCACAGTAACTCATTTGTGGGAAATAAAAATAATTTACTTTTAGGAAAATAAACTCACCTGCCCCCTCGATGCTATTTCCCTCCTACCTGTGGTATGAACCATTAAACACAAACAAGGCCCACAGGACCTTTGCTGGAGCATGAGTGCTTTCCAAAGACTGCACCCGTGGCTTTCAATTGTAGTCCAACAGCCCAGGTGACAGCCCCAATGTGCCTACTTCTCTACCACAGTGAAAGAGGCTGTTTTGATTTTTTTTTTAGAGATAAGGAACAAAGGCTCTGGGTAGAACTGAATGCTCATCTTGGGCATGGGTATCAGGTTTTATGGGGCAGGGGCAGACAAAGGCTCAGGCCTAAGGATACTCACATTAGTTCGTAGTTTCTCCGGATTGCCTCAGGAATGTTGGGCTTTGTGACCCGCACAGCCTGGAGGAGGGCAAAAATGGATGGGATGGTGAGGGTCCCAATGGCCACTGTATTGACTGTGGCAAGGAACTTAGTCATCATCAGAATCCCATGCCAGGCCCTGCCTTACCTGAATGACAAGTCCAGGGGCCATGGAGGTCAGGTCTTGTTGCAAAGCTAGTTTGAGATTTTCATCAATCTGATCTGAGGAGTAGTGAAAAGAAAACAGGATAATTAAACATTTAGACAGAGAGAGTTTCGATTCGGGTTATTGGATCAGCTAAAAGAATGAAGGTAAAAAGGTATATAGGAAAAGGTAAAATGCTGGCGTAGTGGGAAGATTGCTAGCCTTGGGAGTCACAGACTCACAGGGATATCACAGGTCATCTGGTCCATTTTTTTGTCTACCACATCCCCTACAAGTGGGAGCGTGATCTCGGTCTGTAGATGCTAAGGTTCTGCAGAACCTGCTATTACGAGAGGCAGGCCATCCCTCTGAGGCAGTTCTAATCGTCAGGAAGCTCTTCCTGATTTTGAGCTACAACTGGCTTCTTCACTACTTCTGCTCTCCACTCCTGATTCTCTCCTCTGGGATCAGGCAGGAAAAAAAAATCAGACCTCTTTCCCACCGAGACCCAGGTTCAAATCCTAGTTTCAGCTGTTACTAGCTATTTGTGCCAGGGTGAATCACTCCACCTTCTCACTCTCAGTTTCTTTACCTGTAAGATGAGAATAATAACGTTTGCCCAACTGACCCCACAGGATTCTTGAGAGCAAAACACTTTGAAAAACTGGAAAGGGCACTATGTCAATGTGAGTTATTTCAGAAGCATTCAGAAAAGGCAGAACTGGAAGAGCCTGTCCAAATAACCCATCCATTGAGGCAAGAACATTTTGTTTTGTTTAATGCCACAAGATAAGCTGCTTTTTACAGTTTGGGTGGGTTAAGCCCAAAGGGGCAATGGTACAGGTAAGTCAGGAAGGCCTGAGTTCAGATCTGCCCTAAGACACTAGCTGCGTGACCCTGGGCAAGTTACACTGTTTGCCTCAGTTCCTCATCTGTAAAATGAGCTACAGGAGGAAGTGGCAAACCACTACAATATTTCTGCCAAGAAAACCCCAATTAGGGACATGAGGAGTCAGACAGGATTAAAATGATGCAACAACTACAACAACAAAACCTCAACTGCATCTTAGATGGAGGTCTGGCTTGAAATAAATACAAGTGAGATTTATCTGGATTTGAGAAGCAATTCTTAAAGAAGTGACAGCATGCCCACCTTCAGCTGGCGACACATGAAACAGGAGAGGGGACCAAAAGACCAGGGAGGAGAAAGCAGCGGGGGAATGGGCATGGGAGGTGTTTTGAAAGAAGCAAGAAAACCTTTCAGCAGAACATACGAAACTCAACACGGCTGTGAAATGTCTAAAAGGAAAACAAAGGCTGCGGCTTCTAGGAAAGCCCTAAGAAAGGCTCTGTTTCCACTGGAATCTTCATCAAGCAGCACAGGGGGAAAATTAAAATTTATAGCTCTGAAAATGATCCCAACTCATTTGGTTGGTTATTTGCTTTGGTCCCTGCTTCCTCGTCTGGAATTCACACGTGAGCTGTGGTTCAGAGAGGAGTATAGGAAACAGCTGTAATCAGTTTCCTGCACCTGCTTCCAGATGTGGTCATGGAGAACCGGCACCAAGGGTTGTTTTCTACAGCCTGGACCCTTTCCAAATGGTTTTATAGTCCCCCTCAATCTTCCACTTGAATGACCCTCATCCAGACTGTAGGAGGAAGCAGACAAAGAGGTTTTTCAACAAAGACCCCATTTTCATTTTTTGTCTATTTTACATGTGACGCAGGGATGCCCTCCACAACACCTCAGACAAGTGAGCACCCTGCCTTTGCTTTTAGAATTCTAGTGACAAGGAACCTACTACCTCCCAAGGAAGCCCATTTCATTTAAGACCAAACTGTTACCATGTATGTAATCCAACGCCCAGGGCACACACAAATTCTTCCTTGTACTGAGGTGAAACCTGTCTCCCTTCAACTTCCACTTGCTGTTCTTAGCTCTGTCCTCTGGGGCCCAACTGAACAAATCTAATCCTTCCATGACAGACCTCCATGTGTTTGAAAACAGCAATCATCTGCTTCCACTGCCCCCTCTCCAATCTCTTCTCCAGGTTGAAAGTATGTAGTTCTTTCTAAAGATCTTATCATCATAAGGCTTGGAGTTCTTTCAACATCCTGAGCCACCTTGTCTCTTCTAAAATGTGGTACCCACAAGTGAAAACCTATACACCACATGTGGTCTGACTAAAGCAGAGTACAATAGGAGTATCACCTCCCTCGTTTAGCATATCACATTTCTATTAAAGAGATGCAGTGAGGCATACTAGAAAGAAGTCTGGTCTTGGAGTCAGCCCTGGTGTCCTGTCTCTAAAACATACTAGATGTGAATCATGGGCAAATCACTTGGATTCTCAGGGCCCTTAGGAAAATCATTAATATAATACATTGTCAAAGTGATCTTCCTAAAGTGCAGGTCTGACCATGTTTACTGACCCTACTCAATAAACTTCAGTGATTCACTATTGATACATAAAATGCTCTGTTTCTTTTAAAGCCCTTCACAACCTACCTAATCCTCTTAAATTATATCCCTCTCTGTGTACTTTATAATCCACTCATGTCCTTCCTCTTGCTGTTCCCATCTCCGAGGCTGACCCTCATGCCTCTTGGCTCCTCTGAGACTCAAGTTTTACATTCTGCAGGGGGCCTTTGCTAGTCCCTTCCACTGCTAGGTCCTTCCCTCTGAGATCACACTCCATTTACCACACACGTGCACGCACACACACACACACGCATGTACATACATATATACATATATATGTATACATATACATATATACATATATAAAAATCAATATATATCTTGTATGTACAATTTTTGGCATGCTGTCTCCCCCATTAGAATATAACCTCCTTGAGGTTATATTATTTTGCCATTAGGCAAATAATTACCATTATTTTTGCCTTTCTTTTCATCCCTGCTGCTTAGCAGAGTGCCTGGCACAGAGTGAGCCAGTAAGTAAGTATTTATTGATAAACACTTGTTGGATGACTGACTAGATTTGAGATGAGTTTCTGATCTCTGCTGGTGGAGAGCATCTCCATACTGGTAGTTTCCCACACTGATGAAGTCACAGGTTTGGACAAAAATACACACACACACACACACACACACGAAGCCTAAAACTGCATTAGCCTTGTTGGTTCCCCTATCAATAGGACACCGACTCATTCTGAACTTGCAGACCCTCAGATCCTTTTCACACAGACTTCTGTCTAGTTACTTCCCTTCATTGTATCTATACTTTTGCAATTGATTAGCAAGCCAGTATGGTGTGACAGAAAGGCACTGGCTTTGGAGTCAGAAGTTCTAGGTTCAAAACCTGCCTCTGATGCTTACTTGTGTGACGTTGGTTAAATCACTGTATCCTCCTGGCTTCGTTTCCTTATGTGTAACACAAAAGGTGTGGACTTAAGCTCTATAATTTTTAAACTCTAAATGCAAGATTTTGCATTTATTCTTATCATATTTCATCTTATCAGATTTGATCAATCATTCCAGCCCATTAAGAACTTTTTGGATCAAAGTCTGTCACTTTGGGATGTGTGCTAGTAAGTGTTTAACAACTGCGTGCGTAGGGGTGGTGGTGGAGAGTATCTATGACACTTTTAAGTTTAATCTGCATTATTAGCTTTTATTCATCACTTTCTTAAGTCGAGACAATCAACAAAATAAAACAAAAATCAGAAAGGGCTGATTTATAGCCTTACTGCTTTATTTGGGGGTGGGGGGGTGGGGGAAAGGAGGTGGTGGGAGTTAAGTGACTTGCCTTCTTAGCAACAAAAATCTGATCTATGCCTTCATCCCAGGCATGATTCTAGAGCACAAAATTTGAGGTTACAATATTTAAGGAATGGCTTATAATACTTAATAAAAAGAAAGTAGTGAATAAAAAAAATTTTAAATATGGAAATATATTTTCCATGATTTTCCATGTATATTTGAAATCCTAGTGCTTGCCTTCTCAATGAGTGGGAGAGGGGCAGGACATAGGGAAAGAATTTGGAACTCAAAATTTGAAAAAAATGAACGTTAAAAATAACAGGAAGTGGTGATTATTAGAAGTCAGTAGAATTTCATTAAGAAAAATTCAAGCCAGACTTTCCTTTTCTGACAAGAAAAAAACCAGACACAGTGTGTCAGAATTTCAAAATATCTAACAGAGTCTTTCATGATATCCTTGTATATAAGAGGGAGATATGTGACCTGGAGCTTAACCAAGTGAGCTGCATTTAGAATGGGTTGAATGACCACAGTCAAAAAGTGATGCCTAATGGACAAACTGTCTCTCATAGAATACAACAGGATTCTGTCCTTGGCCCCACGTTTTTCAACATTTTTATCAATGACTACATGGTATGCTTATAAAATCTGCTGATGACACAAATGGGTGGGGATAGTTAGCACACAGGTGATCCCAAAAGATTTCATCAGGCTAAAATGATGAGCTGAATTTAATTAGATGGCATTTAATAGAGTTGCAGGTAAAATTCTATGCTTGATTTAAAGACAACCAATTGCACAAGTGCAGGGGACATGTGACTAGACGACAGTTCTTGTGAAAAAGACCGAGGAGGTTTACAGGGCTAAAGTGATACATAAAATAGTGAGAAATGGCAGCCAACCCCCCCTCCCCATGCTTCCCTGCCTTCCCCAGGAGAACTCCAGCTGTATTAAATGAACTCACTCGAGTTCAGAATGAATAGGATGATAGTCCTCATGTTACCTGCTCTGGGCAGGGCACAAATGAAGTACTGGGTTCAGCTCTGGGCACTGTATTTCATAAAAAATATTTATAAAAAACTGGGATCTGTCCAGGGGTGAAACTCACTGACTGGTGAAGAGCCTTGAAATCACTGACAGGAAGACTTCCTGGAGGAACTGTGGGTACTTAGCTTAGAGGACAGGAGACTCAAGAGCCCAGGATCACTATCACTGAGGAACTGAAGGAATGTTTCCTGGGAAAGGGATTTGACTTGCTTTGCTTAGTCCCAGAAGGCAGGGTCAGGAGGACAGGGTGGGAGCTGCAGAAAGGCATATTTGGGCTCAATGAAAGGATGAAGTTCCTAATAATTAAAGTTGTTCAAAAGAATGGACTGTTTCAGGAGTCAATCAGTTTCTTGTTACTGGGGGGTTGGGAGAAGCTGGATGGATGACCCTTCTTAGGGACTGTGGGGGAACTCCTACTCAGGTAAGTGTTGGACTACAGCAGTGGTGTCAAACTCAAATAGAAATGGATCCCTGGGGCTACATATTGACTTAGGAAGCCACAAATTAACATTATCTATGTTGTTCTGTATTTTTATTTATTCTGTTAAACATCTGTTAAGCATTTCAATCTGGTTTGGGCCCCCAGAGCCGCAGGCAAGTTTGACTAGACAACCTCCGTAGTCCCTTTAAACCAGGGGATCTCAACCACTTTTGAGCTCCAGCCTCCTTTGGAAGTCTGGTGAAGCCATACTTCTCAACAATAATGTTTGCTGCCTATCACTGAAGGAAATGCAAGATTTCAGTTAGAGGTGAGTGAAAACAAGTGTAATTTATTTCCCCCATTCAAGTTCACAAATCCCCTGAAATCCATCCATCCACCCCTTTGGGGTCCCTAAATCTCAGATTAAGAACCTCTATAAACCCTGAGATTCTATGGAATATTTCAAGTATCCTTTTTTTTTTGGCTTTTTGGTGAGGCGATGGGGTTAAGTGACTTGCTCAGGGTCACAGAGCTAGTAAGTGTCAAGTGTCGAGGCCACATTTGAACTCAGGTCCTCTTGACTCTGAGGCTGGAGCTCTATCCACTGTGCCACCTAGCTACCTCAAATATCCATTCTTAATGTCACCAAATATATGTCTATATGGCTTATATCATATATATGTATATGTGTACATATGTATGCATATATGTGTGTATATATCTCAGAATCTACCCTGAGATCTAAGCATTATTAACTACATATTCATGATACATGAGTATCATGAGACTGCCTACCCCTTATGAATTTGTCTTAAAATAATCTTTATTCCCATCAAAAGATAATAAAATAGCAGGGGACTTGCGTGCAGTCAGCCCTCATTTGTCCCCTTATGTATAAGTCTACTTAGCAAAGTCCCTACTAAAGTTCTCCTCTGATGCATCACCCTGGGGCATGATGTCCCTAGGTTCTCAAAGATTATGCTGGGACTGGTGTGCTTGCAGGCTCCACCAAAACTGAAGAGCTTTGAACTAAGGCCCATTCAATGCTACCCTGGGACCAACCTGGCTAAGTGTGAAGAACGTTCTTTACCAGAAGGCTAGCTGCTCAATGACAAAAAGGTCTCATGGCCACCAGAATATTTACAACAGCACTGTTTGTAGTCACAAAAAACTAGAAGCAAAGTAAATCAACAGTTGGGGAATAGCTAAACAAATTATGGTACATGAATACATGGAATATTACTGCACTGTAAGAAACAAGAAATATAATAACTTCTATTATAAAATAATAGAAGTGGCTCAAACAAGTTCATTATACGAACTGATGTAAAGCAAAATGCACAGAACCAAGAAAACAATATACACAATGACTTACAACAATGAAAATGCAAAGTACCACCACAAGACAATCAACACAGAATGCTGATAAGTGACAAAGAAGAGAAATGACCACAAATCTCCCTCCTTTCTCTGTGGAGGTGATGGGGCTAGCTAGAGGTGTGGAAATAATATTAGCTCAGGTGATATTCTGGTTGGCTTGCTAAACTTTTCTCTCTGTTATTAACTGTTCTAAGAGACAGCTCTCTGAAAGGAATAAGAAGGTAGGATATAAGGGGAAATGTAGGTGATATAAAAACAAAAGATAGCAATAAGGATAGGGGAAAAAGGCTAAGTCACCAGGTGATGACCATTTTGGGGCCACAGAAACTCATGAAAACCACCCACTAGGGTGAGGAGGAAGATGGGTTCCGTCTCAGTGGGCACAGCAATGAAATCAAGGACCCTTTAAGTATCAGCAAAAAGGGAGTGAGAGTAAAAAACAACATACCAGCCTAAGAATTGATCATTCAAGCTTGGGAAAAGACAGCCATTGCATCTCCTTTAGTTCTGCCTCACTAAAGCCTGTAAGATGATCTGGCAATACTCTTGCAATCCTGGTTCTAAATGACTCTGGTGGCAAGTCTTCTACCACTGACTGGGAGGTTTCATCACTTCTCTCGAGGGCATCACTATCTTGTACCAGCAGCCTATTTGCAGGCTGTGCAACACCCTTGTGAGTTATTTTACCAACATCAACCCTAAACACAATCTGCAGAAATCTATCAGCAGTAAGGGAAGAGGATTAACAGGACCCCAAATCCCTCAAAAAGCAATACCTTAGGTCAAGTATTTCCTTCCACTACAGCTAAAGTCAGGGTACATTTCTTTGAAGCCAGCTAAAAAAGGGTAAGCGTTTGCTGATTAGAAAAAGATCTCTTGGGGCATCTAGGTGGTGCAGTAGATAGAGCACTGGCCCTGGAGTCAGGAGGATCCTGAGTTCAAATCTGGACTCAGACACATAACTCACTAACTGTGTGACTCTGGGCAAGTCACTCAACCCCCAATTGCCTCATGTAAAAAAAACCCCAGTAAATTAAAGACAAAGATCTCTTCAAAGTGAATGGGGAAAAAAAACCCCAAACCCACCCCTCCCCCAAATTTATAAAGTTTCTTGGGCAGAGAACTATACTAGGTGTTGGGGAGCCACTGAGCCCAGAGATGAGATAGCTCCTGGCCTCACAGAGCTTGTAAGTCAGGAAGAGAAGGAACAGATTGCCAATCTGTTCTGTTCTGTTCTACCCTGGACAGAGACAAGAAATCTGCCATTTTTATCTCTAAGGGTGTTTCTTCTACTCCAGACTCTTCATGTGGTCTAAAACAGAACTCAGGGACATACTTTGTGACCAGGACCTACGCAATGGATGCACTGACTTTTGCACCCCGTGTATACATTCCCAAGCACAGGGCACATTCATACACTCAAAGCTCTGAATTAGGAACTGAGAAGCAGAAGTCAGACAGCAAAAAAAGGAAGTATCTCCAATGAGACTCTCACCGAAGAGTTCAATATAGACCTCTTGGAGGGTGTGTACACTGCAGAACTGGTTCAGCTCATGATGGATCTTGTTGAAGATGAGGGCCTTGTCATAGTCAGCGGTGTAATTCTTCACTATGTCATATACTGAAGGAGAGAAGGAAAGATGCTGGAGTTGGAAAGGGCAGGGTCACAGGAGACACGTCCTTCCAGAGACCAGGTGTGGTCTGGCATGGGAGGGCTGTGAGAGCCAGAAGAATCCCACACTCAGGAGAACCTGCTAGGTTTTCTGGAGAGCATGACTAGAGAGAGAACTCACCAGCATTTGGTATCAGGAAGTTCACCACCTCAATTCTGTCGAAGTAAATCATCACACCACCACTGTTGGAAGGAGAAAGGACATGGGTGTCACAGAGGGACCCAAGGATCTAGGAAAACTTCCTGAGATGTAGCATAAGTGGAGGAGTAGATAAAAAAATCCAAACAAAGACATCGGAGGAGTAGATAAAAAAATCCAAACAAAGACATCGAAGGGAAAAAGGTAGAAGCAATTTCTGAATTGCATGTACCAAAATGGTTTGTCATCTCTGAGCTCCCAAATAAAGGGTTCCTCCAAGCTTATGATAAAAGAAAACACCTTAACACTGAAAAAGTGTTAGTTCACACTGCCTAGTAACAGTTACTACAACTAGTGCTCATGTCTGCAGGTGCTTTAACAACTGTATTTTACAGATCTGGAAACAGAGGCTCACGAGAAGTGAATGGACACAGCTGTACGGGCTGGAGACAGGATTTGAGCCTCAGTCTCTTGACTCCAAGTCAGTGCCTTTCACCATACAAGCTCAACTTGGCTGAGAAACCTTAGGGTGGTAGGGAAAAGGTGGTCTGATGGCAAGGGAGAGAATTGGAGGCCATCTGTTTCTGGGTTAGCAGAATGTTTTTACTAACACAACTAGCATCAGACTCTCTCCAGAAAAAAAGAAGGGAAGAGAAGAGAACCCCAGAAGCCAAACCACTCCCTGGAAGTGACAATCCTAGCAGCAACTTCAGACAGAGACCCCGGGGCTGTGGCACATCGGGCATTCTTAAGAAGGTTCGGCACAAGCCTTATCATCGGACACAGTGGAAGAAGGCACGCGTAGGCAGAGGGGCAGGAAGGAAGTTGTATTATTAAAATACTAAACTTGAACAGAGACAGAGGACGAATTTGCGGGGAGTTAGTTCAGTATGAATAGCTATTTCTCTTTCTTGTGCTCCACACCTCAAAATGGATGTCCTGCAGGTACCTTATACTCAATTATCTAAACTAGATTACCTTTCTCTCCAAATTCACCTCCTTCCCCCCCCCCCCAAACTTCCCTATTTTTGTGAAGGGCACCTTCCATTTACCCAGGTTTGGGACCTCAGTCTAAACCTCTACCCCTCACTCTCCCTTGTTTTAGCTAATATATCATATCCAACCAGTAGAAAATCCTGTTATATCTATCTTTACCATGTCACTACAAAACCTCAGCTGGACTACTGAACAGGGCCCCTTCATTGGTCTCCTCTCTCTCCCTACTCCTTCACACGGCTGCCAAAGTAATACTCCTTAAGCACTGATCTGAACATGTCATTCCTCTACTCAACAAACTCCAATGGCTCCCTACTGCCTCTAAGATAAATATAAACCCGTTTGGCAATTACAACCCTCTGTAAGCTGGCCCCAAGCTACCTTTCTAACCTTGCTATACCAAACTCTGAAGTTTGGCCAGACTGTCTCATATGACACCCCCTGTCTCCCACTGCTGTACCCTCCTTATCTCTGCTTCTTAGAATCCTCAGACCAAACATCACCCGGTCCACGTAGCACTCCCTCATGTCTCCTGGCTACTACTGCCTTCGCCTTCTCCTTAATATTACCAGGCATATCTATTCTGTGTACATCTATATACATTTGTCTCCCATGAGAAAGGACGTTCCTTGACAGCCAGGATTATTTGGTTTCTTTCTTTGTACCCGTGGTGTCTAGCACGGGGCCTGGCATGTAGCATGGTCTTATTTAATAAATGATTGCTGACTGAGTGACAGATAATTTCAAGGCTCACCAAAACAGTGAGCTTGGGAGCCAGGCAATACAAGTGTAATCGTCTCTTTCCAGATGAGGAAACTGAGGCTAAAAGAGGGGAAGCAATGAGCCCTAAGATAACAAAGTAATAAATTGCTGAGCAAGGATTCAAGGGGATGGTTTTCACATTTCATTTATGTGTACTTTGTCTCCATGATCAGATCAAAAGCAACTTGAAAGCAGGAACCACAACACCAGTTCCATGGCATACTAGATATAGCCCTCTCAATGGAGTCACAAAGATTGGAGATTGAGTCCCACCTCAGACATATGAGCTCGTGTGACCTTGGGCCAGTCCCTTTACCTCTCTGAGACTCGGTTACCTCAAACATAAAATGTTTACAACATCACCTACCTCAGATGGTTATTGTGAGGATCAAATGTGATCACACATGTAAAAGTGCTTTAAAACTTGAAAGAGCTGTATAAGTGCAAGCTATGATTATGTTTTTGTAGTCCTGCAAACACAGGGCTGGACACACAGCCAGCATTTTGAAAAGGATTTGTTAACTTATCCATTGCTTATTGCAGCATGGAAACCAGGCAAGGTAAGCAAGGTAAGTGAGCAGGGCAAAGTGCAGGGAGATAAGAGGAGGAAAAGAATCATGAAAGAATTTAAAAATAAAGACAAGCTGCCGCCACTAAAAACCTGTTCTTTCACTTCTTGGGGCCCAAGAGTTTCACTCTTGGCTCCTCACCTTGTTCCACAAGGCACATTCTTCACTTCATCTGTCTGGAGTGTGGTCTACAAAGAGAGAAAACAGAAAAGGTTTTAAGGGGGAAAGCCAAGAGCACTGTCTTCTTTCTTGTCTCATCCTGGCATAATTCTCTGTATCTGTAAATCAGCAGCGAGACTGGCGGGCCCTCCCTACATGACAGGGCATTTTCTGGGTCAGTGACCTCATAGGAAGAAAGGCACCCTATGAATGAGCTGTTAGACCCTTACTAGACTTGGCCATGGGCACCCCTTGCAGTAGCACTGGTAGTAAGGAAGGTACTAGGAACCCACCATTCTCTTAGCATTGTCATTCTCCTTACCTGATGAACATTTAATGGGGATTCAAGAAACCTTAGGTCGGAGTCCCAACTCTGCTGCTAATTCAGTGTGACTTTGGGCAAGGTGCCTCCTCCCTCTAGGTCTCAGTTCCCCAGTTCCCCCTTCTGTAAAATGAGGAGGTTGGATTAACTGTGAAGGTCTTTTAGCTCAAGCACTCTGTGATTCTGGGATATATCCATGCAATGGGGAGCGTCTTTCAAGCGAAGGCCATTTTGATCTAGTCCAGCCTCATCATCTCATAGTAAGCAACTGAGTTCTACTTTAGGACATGCTTCCCTGAACTACATGACCCCTTTCCCCTCTTATCTAACCTTATCTCTAACTCCATTTTGTATCACATTTACTTCACTGTTCTAAAAGAAAAAACACGTGGGACTCCCTGGAAAAGCTGGTCTAGTTACTTAGTCCATGGAGTTTCCAGGACTTCATGAGTACAGGAGCACCTCTCCGAGGCTGAATCCTAATTAAGCAATACACATATCAGACTTTTCTCCACTGAGGTTTGCCTGGAGGTAAAGGACAAGTCCTCTTGCAGGTAGGCCAGGGCAAGTAGTCCCAAGTAGCAGCTATGAGCACCAAAGTAGACTCCCTGAATGTATCTAACATTCTTGTATTTCTTGGATACCAAAGTCCTATGACTTAAGTTTCCAAATAGGTATTTTCCCCACCCAATAACAAGAAAAAAAATCCCTTAATGCAGTCACCCAAATGTAAGCATCATAACAGACAAGTCAAAGTACCTGCACAGACTTATACGACGTGATGAAAGGAAGCATGAGATGGAAACCAGGGCCACTGGTGGAGGTCAACAGAGCACCACCTCTGCAGGAAAGGAAGAGAAAGGCAGGCTGAGTTAAAGCCAAAGGCTCCTAAAAGGAGCTTGAGAACTTGGAACAATCACAGACACTCCCCGTAGAAACTTTCTACAGAGTGCCACAAGCCTTCTTCTCGGCAACTCTGCTTCCTCTGGTCTTTCTCTTTCTCTACCCTCCCTTCAACTCAATCCTTTTGTATTAGGCAGTGCTGATATTCTTAATGGTTGGCCTCAAACTGACCAGTGAGCCATGCCTTTGTTAGGAATGAAGTGGACACACATGCTCTCTGGAATGAGGCAAACAATCTCTGGCTGGAGTTGAGCTAAGGGTAGAAGCTGGTTTTGCTTTGCCACAAGTAGTACTCAGTGGCTAGCTAGGAGGTGGCAATCCATTAGGGAAGCTGAAAGCAGGAATGCAGGTCAACACTTAATGATGTTGGGGAAGGAGGGATGCCGCCAATCAAAAAAAACCCATTTTCTATGTGGCTTTGTAATATAGTCGGGCTATTTCTTGGGTAATAGATTTACCCTCCCCATTTTGTGGTATGTAAATGGGTATCAGAATTAGTTTCTTTTCCTTAATTTGATGGTGAAGGGGAATGGAACAGGAGCATGCCTGAGAAAGGGAAGTCAGCCTAAACACTAAAAATCAGGTGTGTGGACTGTTGACAAAGATGCTGCTAAGCACAGCTCAATAAATTCTCATTCATCTGACTGATGGCCCCTACAGTTCACAAAAGAAAGGCCACAGAGGGCTCAGTAACATGATCATATTTTAACTCTGAAATCAAAGATTTATTCCAAAGATCTGTGATTTTGTTAGTACAGAAGCTCTCTTCTTTGACCCAGGTTGCACTCCCTCCATGTCTCAGTGTAGGAGTTCTTTACCTGAGATCTGTGAACTTTAAAAAATTTGTTTTTGCTAACTGTATTTCAATATAATTGGTTTCCATGTATTTTATTTTGTATATTTAAAAACATGATTCTGAGAAGGGATTCGTAGGCTTCACCAGAAAGGGGACTATGTCACAAAATATGTCATTTGGCAACAAACCTGGTGATGAGCCTCTGGACAAATAATGAGTCTGTTCCATGGACAACAAACATAGTCCATACCAGACCATATCAAAGTCCCTCCAGCTTGGTAGGACCTTCCAGAGTCATCTCTGGAAATCCAGAGTCACCTCTCCATCATGATAAGGAAGACTCGAAGAGTAAATCTTTTGGATAACAGTGCTAAAAGCACAGATAATCAGGTAGTTTGTTTATTCCAACAGAAACCTCCCAGAAAATCTTCTCCACTGGGTACAAACAAAGGACCTAATTTTTAAGAAGGGCCCCAAAGACAAAGACGTTAGCATTCTGATTAGATAAGGTGGGAACGTGGTCCTCACCTGCTGCCATCAAGGGCAGGTGCCTAAGTTGACTTCTTCAGAGGCAACCAGGAAGCCTTTCAGGCCAAGTGAATGGAAAACTGTCTTCTAGAACCATCGTCAAACCTAGTATTTTATTTTCATTTTGCCTCTGAACCAGCACAGAGTGAGAGAAAAGGCCTGGGTTCCAATTCAAGTTCTCTGATCCTTAGTTGGGAATGCTACTCCTCGAGCTACTCACTCTACAAGATTATCATGAGGAAATTCCTTTGTTTGGCAGAAAGCTATTACTATGACTAATATTGTCACCTGTCACGAGTAGAGTCACCCAAACGTGGCTAGATACAGTGTCCCAGCTTTAGTGCAGTTGTAAGCTAGTAAAGCTCCAAACTGCTCTGAGAGCTCTGGGACTTCCTGTACATATATACAGATCTATCAGTAGTTGTTACTATAGAGCAGCAGCGTAATAGAACGATCCTGTCCCCTAGGCAAATTAAACCAACAAAACCAGAACTACGCATTGGCTGCAGGAAAGAAAAGCACCATCAGGAATGTCAGAGCTGGAAGCTCTCTGCAGCCCTGCCCCTTCCTCTTACCTGTAGTACACCCCAATGTGCCCTTCTTCAATCTTGTGCACGGCTGAGAAGAGGGCTGCACAGAAGAAACTAGTCGCCACGGCCACCACTGCCCCTACTTGCGCCATTGGGAAGCTTTTACCCTGGAGAAAGGGTACGAGGAAACATGTGATGGTTAGGACCCAGGGGAAAAGCTACAACAGTATTTCACCAACACACATACCTTGCATCATGCATTACTGCCTACTCAGATTTGTTCCTGTCCTAATGCCAGTGGAACATAAAACTAAATTTGCAACTACTTTCACCTGATTTTTTTTGGGGGGCAGTACAGCATATTCTAATAGAAAATATCAAGGAAGCACATGTAAAAAATAAGGAGAAATATCAAGTATTAGAATTTGATAAATACGGAAGTACTTCGGGAAGGAGCAGTTTTGCATAACAGAGACAAACATATCTTTGAGCGAATTCAAGGAGAAGGCAAAGATACCTCTTTGCAAAGGCTTACTCTAGTCTATATATATATTTTGCATTTGAATCTGTCTTTTGGAGTCACCTGTACAAATGCAGATTCCCTGAGCATGAGAAATCACATGATCCCAGGACTGAAGTTTTTATTCTTGCCAAAACAGCCAGACCCCTGAATTGTTTGACTTCAGCCTTCAGCCTCACTGATCTAGTGGAATCCAAATTGTCACTTCACCTCTAGTATGCCATCCTTACTGCAAAACCTCTCCAGAGTCTGCCTCTAATTAGACTGCCTCTAATTCTGTTGCCCTTTACTCTGAGTCTTGTCTCACATGGCCCCAAGGATTGTCATTTAAGGATCAGCAAGGATCCTTTTAAGGAAAATTCTTTTTTTTTTTTTTAAGGAAAACTTTTGAACAACATTTATATCTCCTAAAAAGTCCAGAAACTGTATTTCACAGGCCCCTAAAGTAGGGCAGATTTCAGAGACAGCTATAATACAAGGGAGGGCATAGGGTAGAATTCAGATTTATCCTTCTCTTGTGAGCCCTGGAGACACCAAGACACAGAGGGTCTCTGGAGCTAGAGAGGATTTTAGAGACATTTCTCCTCCTACCACAATGACAAGTCATCATTCAGCCTCTATCTGAAGGCTTGCAGTGATGGAGAATGCTCTCCTTTCCAAAGCAGCCCATCCCACTTTTGGCACAGGTATAATTGTTAGGAAGCTGTTTCTTGTATTGAGCTGAAACCTGCTGTCCGGCAACTTCTGCCCATGGCATCCAGTTCTGCCCTCTGGGACCAAGCAAAATAAGTATAATCCCAATTCCTATTGACAGTCCTTCAAACACTAGAAAACAGTGATCATGTCCTCCCTGCATTTCTCCTCTGGCTAAACACCCTCAGGCTCTCAACTAACTGATCTTCCTGTATTGGCACAGTTTGAAGTGACATGTATTTGTCAAGGGGGAACAGGCCAGCTGCAAGTGCTGACTGACCAAATTATACAGGATGTCAAATGAACAGGAGACTGTGGCTATGTAATTCCAGCCAGAGCCACCCAATGCTAATTGTAGGGTATTTCAAAGGAAACTGTTATTTACTCTTTTCACATGCTAGGGTGATAGACAGTATGTGCACAGCAGGGTGCCAGGGCAGGATTTTCTAGAGAGTGCCTCCTCCTCTCTCCTTTCCCCCATTATTCACTAGGCCCTTAATAGGGTAGGGCCCTGTCACTTGCGAAAATGACTGAATCCACAGCACCGCTTTATACATGCTACTTGAATAACACTTTATAGCTGATTATTCCCCAACGATACCTGTTGAGACAGGAAAGAAGGGCTCAAAAGTCTACAGAGTCTGGCTATGAACATCCAGCTGGGCTTAGACATCAGAAAGCTTTAAAGAAGTTATTCCTGCATTCACTTTTTGGCAATGGTCTTTGAATAATATGGGACAACTTCAACTCCTATAGGCCTTTAGCACCCAAGGAGATTTACTGCAAAGACCATTTTTTCACATCATTGTGCTGTTTGAACAAGATAAGTTCTTTGTGAGAGGGTACATATACTATTGCTGTGGCAGCCATCTCTTGGATTTTCCAGGACTGTCCAGTTTTCTAACCAGGAAGTATACTTTGAAGGCCCTAAAAAAGAAATACCTTTTGTTCAACCACGTGTAATGATTTTTAATTTGGAAAAATATGGTCACTATAACTATACCGGCAAGTGCTGAAGGAATACAGTTTGGAAATACTAGTCAGTATCTGGTTAGCTCTCTGTCTTGGGTCCATAGAAGCAAATTTTACCTTCTTATCAGAAGGTGGGCATGAGAATGGGTAAAGAAATAGGTAGCAGGTATCTTCAAGAGCATTAGCTAAAACTTGCAAAAAAGCCAAGATTTGAGATCTTTGAATTCAACAGTCCCTATATGCAACCAGATTGGATCCAAAGCTGGTGCAAGAGAGGTCATAGTGTTCTATGGATAAAGGTGGGGCTTGATCAAGTTCCACTCTGGGGACCAAGAGGCTGCTTGCTGAAGTGGAAAGCATTCTGGATTTGGAGCCAGAAGATACAGGTTTGAATGCTGGCTTTTCAACTTAATATTAGGTAGCATTTAAACAGTGCTTTGATGTTACAAAGAACTTTACACTAGCTAGTATTTACATACTGCTCCATGACTTGCAAAACACTTTACCCTAGCTAGCATTAACACAGCGCTTTAGGGTTTGCAAAGAACTTTATACTAGCCAGCATCTTTGTTTAGTTTATTGTTGTTTAGTCGTTTTTTTCAGTTGTGTGCGATTCTTCATTGACTCCATTTGGGGTTTTCTTGGCAAAGATACTGGAGCGTTTTGCCATTTCCTTCTCCTTCTCATTTTACTGATGAGGAAACTTAGGCATGCAGGGTTAAGTAACTTGCCCAGGGTCACACAGCTAGGAAATGCCTGACGTTGGATCTTCCTGTTTCCAGGCCGGGCACTATTCACTGTGCCACCCAGCTGCCCTCTAGCTAGCGTTAACATAGTGCTTTAAGGTTTGCAGAGAACTTTGCTAGCTAGCTTTAATACAGTGCTTTAAGGTTTGCAAAACATTTTTCATTTTATCCTTACAACAGCCCTGGGAGGTAGGTGCTATTATCCCCATTTTGCAGGTGGAGCGACCAAGGCACACAGAAGCGGCCGAGTCACACAACCAGTGTCCGCCGAGTCCACTGCTCCACCGGATTTACTCCCTGTGCGATCACCTCCAAGTCACTTCACTTCCCTGGCCCTCAGCTTCGTCATCTATAAAATGGGGCGAGGCGGAGGGTGACTGTTGACGGTCAAAGTTCGACGTTACGACTAATCCCTTCATTGTCGCCCTTAAGACAAAAGCTGCCCGGGTCGTTGAAGGCGGCCGACCGGATTCCGGCGCGGTCCTTCGGCACCACGTCCGGCCGGGGGGGTCGACCAGAGCGTGTCGGGGGGCACAAGGCGCCTCGGAGCAGCGAGTGTCGGGAGGCAGAGGCGGGAAGGGGGCCCCGGAACACGGAAGGTCCGACGTGGAAAGGGCTTTGGGGATCCTCGAGTCCAACCCCCCCTCCCCCTCCGTGTACAGTCGAGGAAACTGAGGCCCAGAAACTTGCGGGAGGTGACAGGAGCCGGGAGAGGGCGGTGGGCTTGCAGATCCCCGCCCCGGAGGGTGGGAGCCCGAGCTGGGGGGCGGGGGTCAGGGGAGGCCCCAGGAGAGAAGAGGTAGGAGGGGAGAGAGTTGGGGGAGCGGGACGGGGCGGCGTCTAAGGCTGTCCCTCCTGGCGCTCAGTACCTGTCCGAGCTCCCTCCCCGGGGAGCCGCTGCCACTCCGCTCGGCACAGCACGTTTCCTCCTTCCGGGTCCGTCGCCGCCGTGAAACGTCATCAGGAGGCGCGGGGGGCAGAATTCCTGTGTCTCCCTCTCTCCCTAAGCCTTCCTTCCCTGCCCCGCCCCCACCGGGCCTCTGCAGCCGGTAGCAGTCACCTGCCCCTATCAGCCACGAGGGGGCGCCCGTCCCTCGGTCCCACAAGGGAGAGGAGGAGCTAGGGCTTCAAGGGGAGGGAGAAGGACGGAGAGAGCCCGGGGAATGAATGGATGGAATCTTATGGGGATGGGTGGACTGGGGAAAAAAGTGATCCCAAAGAGTTGTGAAGATGAGGGAAAAGGAGGAGGATGTCAGCCTTTCCCTCCTGCCCTAGCCAAGGATGCAAGGATCAAGTCTCCCCATTTCACAGACAGGGAAACTGAGGTCCAGTCTAATTAGATTTTTAAGATATTAATCATCCTACCCTTACATTTCCAGAGAGAGAATAACAAAGGGCCCTAGAAAGGAAGCAGGCAAGGCATGGTAAATATTGTGTCAGTTGGATTGGAGAGGCAGCCTGAGCCCTGCTGGGTTCATAGGATCATAGGATTTAGAACTGGAAGGGACGTTAGAGGCCATCTAGTATAACCAGCTCATTTTATAGATAAGGAAACTGAGGCTCAGAGAGATTAAGTGACTTGTTCAGGAATGCAAGCTAAGGTACAGAAGGTGCCTGGCACCTAGCAAAATGTCTGTTGAATTGAGGGGGGAAACCCACAAAGAAAGTTGTAGAATCAGGATTTGAACCCAGTCCTTCTGACTTCAATCCAATGCTTTTTCAGTCGCTGTGGGATGGGAAGAGAGGTGAATCTATAATGTTATCATAAGACAAATTATTATTTCTTCAGGTCCCATCTTTAAGATTTCTTTAGGGCCTTTCCAGTGGTGTGTCTCTAGGAATTCAGAATGCAAAATGGCAAAAGCCATGAATTAGGCTGTGGTTCGGTTTGTTTTACAAAGGATTCTTCCCTTCTCAACCTTAGGGTCCTTTGACTAGCGTACTCTGCCCAATGGTTTGGCATGATGCAAATGTGCAGATCTCACATTGGGTAGACTGTTCCACCAATATGTTCTGTTAACGAGCAAGGAGAAGTTTGAAGAGACATCACAGCAGAAAGGGCACTTTCCACAATTGCCAGTCTTAAAACTGGAAAATCTGGGGATGACATCAGCTGTGCCATTTTAGACAAGTCACTTTCCCTTTCTGAGATTCAGTTTCCTCCTCTCTAGAGATGAGCAAGGGTCATAGAGGGTTCACCTTCGTGTTAGGAAGAGTTCAAATCCCAACTGTGACAAATGATAGATGGAAGAGTGGAAAGGAAAGAGATTAAGCATTAAGTGTCTACAATGTGCCAGGCACTGAGCTAAGAGCTTTACAATATTACCTCATTCAAACTTCACAACAACCTCAGGAAGTAGGTGCTACGTGCTTCATTCACAATTGAGGAAACTGAGGCAGACAGAAGGGAAGTGACTTGCCCAGAGTCTCAGAGGTACTGTTTGAGGTAGGATTTGAAATCAGGTGTTCTTGACTCTAGTCCTAGGGCTCTATCCACTGTACCACCTAGCTGCCTCTGGAAAGAATACTAGTTCTGGAGTCAGAGGACCTGGGTTGGCCTAAATGATCTTTGGAGTCCTGGACCCTTCTTTTTACAGATAAGGAAACTGAGGCCCAGGGAAGTAAAATAGTTTACAGAAAGCCATACTGATAGTAAGCATCAGAGGTAAGATTGAACCCAGGTCTCCATTTAGACTGTGGGCAAGTTTGCCAATTGGACAGTGGTAGAAATGAATGACAAGACTATTAGTGGGATGTTGCCTTACTGGAATCTTACCCATTCCCATATTGCAGCTATGGAGGCTAGTAAGGATGAAAGCCAAAGAAATCTAGACCAGTGGTTTTCCATTTACAGAAATTTGTCACTAGGCATCTCTGCCATGTGTATGCTCCTCAAACCTCCTGAGGATGAATAACTAGGTAGCTTCGTCAGAGTGTCATGCTGGGGTAGAGAGAAGGGTATCAATATCTAGTAAGAATAGGTGAGAGCATTGTGAAGACTTACTTCTCAGAATCATAGAACCACCAAAATGGAAGGCACCTCAGAGGTCATCTATTCTGACAGATTGTTGAGCAAGAATGCCTTCTATAACATAATTATAGCTGACGTGTACATACTGCTTTAGGGGTTTGTAAAGTGACTTACATATATTATCTCATTTGATCCTCACATCAACCCTGTTATTAAAATATTATTAATAGCAATATTAATATTTATTAATAATATTAATGATTGTTAATATCAACATTAGTTATACTGATGACAATAGGAGGTATTATTGTCCCCATTTTATGGATCAGAGTAATAGCTTAATAAATGCTTGTTGACTTGACTTGTTGACATGCAAGTGGAAACCAAGGCTGAAGAAGGTTAAGTAAAAATAGCTAGCATTTATATGATGCTTACCATGTGCCAGGCACTGTGCTAAACGCTTTACAAATATTATTTCATTTGATCCTTACACCAACCCTGGGAGGTGGGTGCTATTATTATCCCCATTTTACAATGAGGAAATACGCAAACAGAAGTTGTGTCTTGCCCAAGGTCACATAGCTAGTGTCAGAGATGGATTTCAGGGGCAGCTAGGTGGCACAGTGGATAGAGCACCGGCCCTGAAGTCAGGAGTAGCTGAGTTCAAATCCGACCTCAGACCAAACACTTGACACTTACTAGCTGTGTGACCCTTTTGCCTAACTTAACCCCAATTGCCTAAAAATTAAAAAAAAAAATAAAAAAAGAGATGGATTTCAAATATAGGTCTTTCCTTCCTCCTGGTTTAGTGAATTTTCTACTCTATCATGCTGTTCTCAACAAGTGGTCCTCCAGCCTCCACTTGAAGATCTCCAATGATGAGCGTCAAGGTAAGCTTCTTGTACCATTGGGCAGTCCTAATTATTAAGAAGGGGCTGTTCCTCATGTGGAACTGAAATCTGCCTCAGTGCAATTACCTCCAGCCATTGGCTGTCTTTACTCTGGCCATCATCTCCACTCTCTTCCCTTGGCTTTTGGCCAACATTGGCCTTGTTTTGCTCAATTCTAGGTCTTTATGGCATTCCCAGATACCTCCATCACAAGTGTATGCCCCTCCCCTCTCTACACTCTTACCTTTTGCAGATCTTCTTCACGGATTCCATTCCCCATTAGAACAGAGGACCCTTGAGGGCAGAGACTCTCTAGCATGTTTTTATTTATATCTCCAGTGCATAGCATTTAATAAATACTCTGTGTCTATTGTTTACCTGTGAACCTATGTCTAGTATTCCATCTATCTATCTATCTATCTATCTATCTATCTATCTATCTATCTATCTATCTATCTATCTATCTATCTAGTCATTATGCCTAGTTCTTTCCCCTGGTGCCTAGCTACACCAGCCTAATCTCTCTTCCACATGACAGCTCTACAGATGTCATTGTCTCCCCTAAATCTCCTCTAGACTCAGCATCCCCACTTACTTGAACAGATCCTCACACGATGTATCTTTCTGGCTGTCCATTCTCTATTCAGCTCCCTTTCCCTTGTTCTTTAGCCTGTCAATTTTTTTCCTACAGTTTTTAGTCCAGAACTCAACATAGCGATCCAGGTGTGGTCTGATGGGGAAGTGTACCATCACTTCCTTCATTCTCAGTTGAGGCAAAGTGGCTGCAATTGGGAAGAAGAGTCTTAAAGTCTTTGGTTTTTGTAAATATTTTTGTTATGTCCAAGGTAAAAAATTGGAGAGGAGAAGAAAAATGGAAAAAAATGCCATGTCTGTGGATGCCTAGAAAGAGGGTCTCAAAGGATGAGGAGTGAGCCTAGGTCAGAGCCATAGGGGAAACTCTCATTTATCCTGGGGGGAGAAATCGGAGGCAGATGACCTGGACAGAGAAGACTGAGAAGGATCAGTAAGACAAGTAGGAGGAACCAGAAGTTCTACAAAAGCCAAGAGAAGAGGGAACATTCAGGAAGAGGAGGGTGTCCCACAAAGCCTAAGAGCTGGAGAGGTTAAGAAGGATTTTGTTGTTGAGTCCTGTCCAACTCTTTGTGACCACATTTAGGGTTTTCTTGGCAAAGACACTGGAGTGGTTTGCCATTTCCTTCTCCAGCTTATTTATAGATGAGGGAACTGAGGCAAATAGGGTTAAGTGACTTGCCCAGGGTCACATAGCTAGTGTCTTAGGCCAGATTTGAACTCAGGAAGATGGGTCTTCTTGACTCCAGGCCCAGCACTCAATCCGTTTCACCACCTGATGGCTTCTGAGGTCCCTTCCAACTCCAAATCTAAGATTGAGAGTCTATGATCCTTAGAGTGAATGTCATGTCATGAAGTGGTTAAATTAGAGATACCCATAATTCTTACTCATTCTTTATACATTGTAATCTGGTACTTGGGTCTGCAGAAATAAAGCTGTCAGAAACCTCAGAAAGAGCAGACTTTTTATTTCATTCCCTGAGGGGCTAGATGGTTTCATTTCCATTTAATGGAAAGATGTGTAGTATGGTGTAATACAAAGAACATTGGGCTGAAAGTCAGGAAAGTTGGTTTTGAGTGGAGGCTCTGACTTTAATTAGCTATGTGGCCTGAGGCAAACCATTCACCCTCCTCCACCTCAGTTTCCTTGTCTGAAAAAATGAAGGAATTCTTCTAGATGCCTCTTTTACCATGTTATACTATCCTTAATAGAAAAAGTTTGGGGACCATGAACTCATCCTAATGGATTGGCTCACAAAGAAGGGAATCACTTATTCTCTGGAAGGACAGATTTAGGGAGGGGACGCTGTTGTAAATCCAACTGAGGAGGACTTTCATGCCACTTAAAAAAATCAGACCTGAAACAGCCATAATGTTTGTCAGGCCA